CTGTTTTCTAGTAAATTACCCGAATCCATGTGCTGATTCCCCATAATCTTCCCATTTTAATTTTTTTATCTCTGAACTGTGGACTATCTCACTTCCATAGTGCCCTGTGGGCAGAGGGAACAGTAGCTACAGATGGTGTGAGTCTGGTAAGGATGACAAAAGCTTGCAAGGTAGGGGAGAATGCCTGGGTCAATGAGCCTTTATCTCAAAAATACCTGAACACACTGGCCCAGAATTTTCTAAAAGCTAAGGAACAAGGTTTCCTGTCCTGTATGAGATATTTTCTGAAGTGTTTCTGTGACCTTGGGTAGATCCCCCTTCTTGGCCAGTCTCCTCACTGTGAAGCAAGTATTAGTCTCACCATCTAAGTGCCTCCAGGCAACAACAGTCTACAAAATTGTGGTTTATGGGAAAAAACGTACTTTGACACTGGCAACCCCAGTTTTCTTTCCTTTACCACCAAACTTCTCAAAAGACATATTGTTATTCACTGCATTTACTTCCTCACCTTCATCTACTGTTCAGTTTTAGGTGATCTGGCTTTTTCCCCCAACTCGTCAAAATAACTTCTTGCCCTCTGTCTTCTATGACTTCCTTCATGCCCAATGCCAGTGAACCCTTATTCAGGGTTCACATTCCTCAAGTCATTAACAATTAACACTTTGGATGACTACTCCAACCATTTACCACTTGCTCTTTTAAATCAACTGTGTTGGTTATTAAGCATTTGTCTCTTGGTATCAAATCTATCTTTCTGTACTTTGCTTTGTGATGCCAGGTCAGGGACACTTCAAACCACATCACTTCTTTGCTACTTGGCTCCTTATTAGGATCTGCCTATAAGGGGTACTAGAGGAATTCTGTAGGGCAAAAGGAGAATAAAAGAAAACTCCCTTTTCCTGTTTGCTAACTATTCCTCTAAACATCAACAAGTGATGATTCTTCACTCAATCAGGGATGTTGGTTTGAATTTACAAGCTTTTTTTCTTAATGCTCCCCACATCAGCCTTATTATGCCTCTTCAGAATACTGCATGAGACTCCAAGTCCTAAGGTACCAGAAGCAGCTGAACAGTGCCTCCTACTCAGAGGTCTGAATCCAGTCTGTACAGGGACCCGCCAAGTTAAACACAGATTTGTGAGAGATACTGGGAGCTGAACTGTGACCAGGAATGCTGAGGTACAGACTTCTGCTTCTCTGAAGGATGTACGAAGAAGCCATTCTTTTGGAATGTGGACCCTGCTGGACTCTACCATGATCCAGTGTAATACAGCACATGTTTCCCTGAACTGCTACACAGAAGTTGAGAATAGCATGCCCCAGACCCTGAAGGACAGAGCTACTGTGAGAGGATGACGACTCTGAAACCCACAAGTGCACATTCCAGAGGGGATGGAGATCTGTTTGCATGGCCAGCTGAAGAACAGATAAGGACGTGGGGAACTTCTGGGTATAGTTTTGGCTTATGGTCTTTTGGGGAGCAAGGGCAGCATTAGTTCTCATAGAATAGGAGGGCTCTGAGTGGGGATGCTCTGGGCTCCCCCAAGGTTGGAGCCTTGTTAATAAAAACCTATTTTGTTCAACACTAATTGTTGGGTCATGTGGAGAGGTGCCACATGGCTGAGCTCCAGTTAGCTCAGTTACACTGTGCACATTTGGTGTCCCAGGCACCATCTTGGGTTTCTTCATACTTGATGTCACTCACTCCATCAGCTTCCCTAGTTTACAGGTGAGGAAGCTGAGACTCAGAGAGGTGAGGATGAGGATAATGATGACAACAATCATAGCAACATGGATTTCAAACATAGCCCTGATTGTGATTCCCTTAATCCTCACTACAGCCCTGAGGTCTGAACTATGGTGACTCTCATTCTACAGATCTGGATACTGAGTCTGCCAAGACAGACCCAGGATTTTCACCCTGGTCTCTGGGACTCAGAAACCCACTCCCTTAACTGCCAAATGGTCATAAATCGAAATGGCTGTAAATCCAGGGCTTCCCCTTGAGCATTAATTGCCTGTGACCTTATCAGGCACCAGGTTCCAAAAATCTACACCCTCCACGCCGTCATTTCTTAAGACTTGGGGGCCATCAGAAGCACAACCTGTGTTGGGGTGCAAATGACAATCCACTACCCCACATTCAGACCTCCAGAAAGCTAAGGACAACAGATTTGTTTCTTCCAACAGTGCTCACTTCTCTCCAATTTTCTTTCTTTCTTTCTTTTTAATTCCTTTTTTAAAGATTTTATTTATTTATCTTTAGAGAGTAAGGGAAGGAGAGAAGGAGAGAAATATCAATGTATGGTTGCCTCTCGTGAGTCCCCTGCTTGGAACTGGCCTGCAACCCAGGCATGTGACCTGACTGGGAATTGAACCACGATCGTGTGGTTCGCAGGCCCACACTCAATCCACTAAGCTACACCAGCCAGGGCCTTCTCTCCAATTTTCTTGACCAAAAAAAAAAAAAAAATAACAACATCCCAGGTGGTTATCCAAGGCCAGGAAGACTAGAAAAGTACATTTCAAAGCAATTAATATTCTACAAACATCCCAACAGAAGTGTAAACCCTGAGGGAGGACCTCAAATGGAAAAGCCATCATGCTATAAACCAATCCTTTCATTATGATCCCTTACAAAACCAGAAACAGGACTTCCGGCCAAGATGGAGGCGTAGGTGGAAACACTGTGCCTCCTCACACAACCAAGTTTAAAGACAACAAAGTTTTAGTAACAAAAACACAGAAACACAGAAAATTGAAATGTACAGAAGTCCAACAACAAGGAACTGTCCATCTAGACCAGTAAGAGGGGCAAAGTCAGCGGTGGAACAGGGTGGGGCAGGAAAGATCAGCTGGACCAACCAAGGAGCTCAGGCGCTCAGGAGCACAGGTGGCCTTTGGCAGATCCCAGCCATCGGGTAGCAGCAGGCAGACCCAGTGAGTGCGCAAGGCGGCTGGCTGATCATGGTCACACATTCGCATGCAGTTAAGCCATGCGAAGGAGTGAGCAGTGAGACAGACCACTCAGGCCAGGACCCCAGCAACAGGAATTAGAGCCTGAAAGCACCAATTGGAAAGACTTTCAAGATCAAAGTGCTGGGAGAAGCTCCAAGGCTCACAGAGAGTTTGTTGGAGAGACCCACAGGGTCCTAGAGGGTGCACAAGCCCACACACCTGGGAACCAGCACCAGTAGGGCCCAATTTGCTTATGGGAAGCAGCAGAGGGTACAGAAATCTGAGAGAGAGCAGAACAAACACCATTGTCTCTCTCTGACTCTGCCACCACATACAGCATCACAGCCCAGCTACCTGGGTTGCCTGTCCTGGTGAACACCTAAGGCTTCGCCCCTCATATATAACAGGTGCAAACAGACCAAAAACATTATGGCTCAAGAACAGCTCAAAGCCCCAGAGCCAATAAATAAATCTAAGCAACCAATAGATAGCTAACCTTTCAGATGCACAGTTCAAAACACTGGTGATCAGGATGCTCACAGAACTGGTTGATTTTAGTCACAAATTAGAGGAATAAATGAAGGTGAAACTAACTGAAATGAAGGGAAATGCATAGGAAACCAATAGTGATGGAAAGAAAACTGGGACTCAAATCAAGGGAATGGACCAGAAGGAGGAAAAAAAATGACCAAACAGAAAAGAATGAAGAAACAAGAATTCAAAAAAATAAGGAGAGGCTTAGGAACCTCCAGGACATCTTTAAATGTTCCAACATCTGAATTATAGGGGTACCAGAAGGGGAAGAGGAACAGCCACCAGTGGAAAACTTACTTGAACAAATAAGAAAGGAGAATTTCCCCAATCTGGCAAAGGAAATAGACTTCCAGGAAATCCAGGAAGCCCAGAGAGTACCAAAGAAGTTGGACCCAAGAAGGAACACACCAAGGCACATCATCATTACATTAGCCAAAATTAAAATGAAGGAGAGAATCCTAGAAGCAGCAAGAGCTAAGGGGACAGTCACCTACAAAGGAGTTCCCATCAGACTGTCAGCGGATTTCTCAAAAGAGACCTTACAGGCAAGAAGGGGCTGGAAAGAGGTATGCCAAGTCATGAAATCCAAGACCTACAACCAAGATTGCTCTATCCAGCAAAGCTTTCATTTAGAATGGAAGGACAGATAAGGTGCTTCTCAGATAAGATCAAATTCAAGGAGTTCATCATCACCAAGCCCTTATTATATGAAATGTTAAAGGGACTTACCTAAGAAAAAGAAGTTTAAAGAAACATGAACAGTGAAAGGACAGCAAACTCACAGTTATTAACAACCACACCTAAAACGAAAGCAAACTAAAAGGACAGCTAGATCAGGAGTGGAACCATAGGAATGAAGATCTCAAGGAGGGTTAGCAACAGGGGAGTGGGAGGAGGAGAAGGGGGGAGAAGGTACAGAAAATAAGTAGCATAGACAGTAGATAGAAAATAGAAGGGGGGGCAAGAATAGCATGGGAAATATAGAATCTAAAGGACTTGAGACACATGGTCATAAACTAAAGGGGAGGTAATGGTGGGGATGGGGGGGTAGGGTGGAGGGGAATGAAAGGGGGAATAGAACAACTGTAACAGCATAATCAATAAAAAAATTTACAAAAAAAAAAAAAGAAACTCCTAGTCCAATTGGAAAGTCTGGAATTAGCCATTGTCACCCATTCATTCATTCAATCATTCACTGAAGAGTCATCAACACCCAGCCTGTTCAGGGTCTGGAAGAGCATTCCTGCTGGATGACCCAACAGTGGGCTCTACTGGGGCACCTCCAAGCAACAAAGCATCCTTCTGGAGCCCTGGCCTCCACTCAGGATTCTACTTGCTGCCATCACCACGTGAGCAGCTGCCAGAGCTCATCACGTCACCTCCCCACAGCATTCTGGGTGTTAAGTCTGGCATAATCTTCCAGCTGAAAACCATGAGTCCATCCATCCCAGAGGCCACTCCTGCAGCCACCTGACCCTTCTTGACACTTGCAGGTCCCAGAATACAAGATGCATCCACTTTGGAGGCTCCTGGTCCTCCTCCGTTTGCTGTCCTTGCCCTCGGCACTGCACAAGCAGCCCTGGCCTGACATGGCCAAGGCCCACACGAACAGCCAATCCACCCTGGTGAGAAGTAAGCTAAGCCTGTGGTCTGCTGACTGTCACAGGGTGGGTGGGGAAAGCACCCTCTTGGCCTCGCCACTAACTTGCTGAATGACCTTGGGTCACTCACTTACCCTCTTTTCCTTTTTTAGCTCTCAAGTACAGACAATGAGGTTGGCTTAACATATACCAATTCGTAGCACATTATCATTATCGTGAATGATGGCGGGACTCCCCCTGCCTTTGATTTGATTTTATGTTATTTTCCTTTTCACCTCTTATTCTCACTCCTATTCCCTCTTCCTTGGCAAGCACTGAAGTATTTATGTGTTTAAATATGCCCAGATTCCTGTAAAACATGCAGTGTTTTAATTTACGTAAATGGTGTTGCCACATAGATCTCATTGCTTTTGACTGGTTTCACTGTTGACATCTGTGGCTTCAGACTGGCACAGAGAACTCCATAAGATTCATTCACTTCACCTCCACTTGGTCATTTCCCGAGAGGTGGACACTTGAGTTGTCTCTAACTCCCCACCATTATAAACTACTCTGAGATGAACATGCTTATATGTGTCCCTGTTAGGACCTAAGAGAGAATGTCCCTGGGGTATACCCAGAAGGTGGATGGTTGGGCCCTAGGGCAGATGCAAACTCCATTTAACCAAAAACTGCCAGGTTGCACTCTAGAAGTTCTGTGCCAGTTTACACTCACCCCAGTGATAAACGAGGTTACCTGTCCCCCCATGTTTCCCCACACTGGAGAGTACCCACCTGTCTGTACCAGTCTACTCGGGCTGCCATAGCCAGACACCACACACCCAGTGGCTTAAACAACAGATATTTTCTCACAGTACTGGAGGCTGGAAGTCCAAGATCAAAGTACCCACAGGATTGGTTTCTGGTGAAACCTCTCTTCGTAGCCTGCCGATGGCCACTTCCTTGCAGTGTCCTCACATGGCCTTTCCTCTGTGTGTGCACAGGGAGAGAAGACACTCTGGTACCTCCCTCTCACCTTGTAAGGACATCAGTGCTAGTGGATATGGGCCCCACCCTAATGACTGAATTTAACCTTCCTTGCCTTCTTCAGGGTCTTACCTCCAAATACAACCATGCTGGAGGTTTAGGTTTCAATATATTAATTGCAAAGGTAGGGTGGGGGAGGACATAATTCAGTACATAACACTATCTTTCTAATATTTGCCAGTCTAATATATGTAGTTGAGTGATATCTAATTGTTTTAGCTTGACTTCATCTACTTAGTAGGAAGTTTGAGCATCTCATCCTAATTTTGTTAACCATTTTGACTTTTTTGAATTTTCTGTTTTTACCTTTTGTTCATTTTTTAATTTATCCTCTTGGTTTGAGGAGATGTTCATTTACTCTTGACATCAGGCCCTTGTCAGGTCTAAATATCGCTAACATTTCTCCCAAACTGTCCTCTACAAGTACTTATAATTTCACTCTGTATTCGAAATTGTTTGGTTAATATCTCTTCTACTAGACAGAAAACTGGTTTGTATCTTTAGTGCCCAGCACAGGGCCTGACACCCAGCAGATGCTCAATAAATATTCTTTAGATGAATGTTCTCAATATTTCTTACAAGAACCCTATGAGGTGGGTAATATTACTGGCCCTATTACACAGATGAAGAAATCCAGAATTAGGGAGCTAACAGAGCTGAGGTTTAAATGCAGATCTGTGACTGCAGACACAGCTTTTTGTTTATAGGCAGTAGAAACACAAGGTGCTGAAAAGGGGTCTGGGAGCTGGTCTGGGAGCTTGCCCTGGAGGAAGGAGGGTGAAGTGTGACAATGGTTTCTGCCTGTCTGCACTAACCCATAGTGCAGGTCCTGATCATAGGAAGGGTGAAGTCAGGGAAATAAATGTGCCTGTGGTGAGCCCCGAGGTTTGCCAGAGCTGGACCCCCACCTGGGGCAAGAGAGTCTGGAGCCAAGAGAGGTAGAACTTAAGTACATCCATTGCTTTTCAAATTCCCTTTCCTTTTGAAATTCATTCTTTTCTTCTGGGGGCTAGCTCCACTCAGTCCTGCAGTTGATTCCAGGCAGAGTATGAAAGGATTTATATTTATTCCCTCTTTGTTTGCCCACCTATTTTAATCTTCAGCCAATATTTATTGTGATCTACATCTGTGTTAGGCTTTATGCTCCAGACACACAGATACAGCACAGGTGAACTTTCAACCAAATATCTCCTTTGAGCAGCTATTGCCCACCAGACCCTCTGCAGAAATGTCACATCAACCCTGCAGAGCAGTTTCACAGATGAAGAATGTGGATCTCAGTGATTAGAAGCAGGGGGGTGACATGCACCAATTGCTCTGCAAGAAGTGGTACACCAGCCTGCAACCCAGGCCCCCACTCCAAATCCCCTGCCTTTTCCACAACATTGTGCAATGTCACTAATCCCTTATCCATTTCCAGTTATTACCCAGGGCCTCACGATGCACAATGCAGAGGGCCGAATCCAGAACATTTGCCTCCTGGACAGTCTGAATGCCTCGGGACAGGTGGCCCCAGGGATGGTGGGCTGGCTAACTGGCAGTAGCATGAGCCTCCAGCAGCAGAAAGAGGGCAGGTGAGACCGTGAACCCCATCCCTAGCTCTGAGATTCTTTACAGAGATCTGGGTCAGAGGGCAGAGCTGGGGAATGGAAGTTCAAAGCCTTGGGAAGAGGGAGGGAAGGAATATTGGAAAGAGGAGATGTAAGGCCCAATATAAGGGTGAATGAGGGGACCCATTCATACCCACAAATACAAGGGGTATTTGTAGAGACAGCATAGCAGGGTAATTAAAAGTGAAGGCTTGGGAGTGAAAGTTTCTGCATTTAGGTCCTAACTCTGCTGCCAGCCTTGGGGAAAATGCTGAACCTCTCTGGCCTCATCTATACCCTGGGAACCAAGGCATAACTTGGATGAACATCTGGGGTGCCCAAGGAACCCAGGACTAGAGTCAGACATTTGAACTCCACTCTTGGTTGATATAGCTCTGTAACTCTGGGCAAGGCATTTGAGTTCTCTAAGCCTCAGCTTTGCGTCATCATCAACGAAATGGGCATAATTGTCCCTGCGTCTGGGAGTTTTGGGGAATTTGGGGGAGTTTTTTTCTGCTGCTCATGGTGGATGTAGAGCCATCACAAGCTACAATCAACATTGCAGAACTGGGCCTGTCCTGCTCACCTCCATTTTCACTCCTTCTTCTTGACGGATGCAGGCCTCCCCAGCCTCCCAGTCTCAAAGCTGCTCACCTACAACACCATCATTCCAGCCTGCTGTGCCCTGGAACTCCCTCCTCTCTCACTGTCAGAGCCTTTTATAGATACTCTAAGAACAAGAGCCACCAGCAGGAGCCCTGTGTAGAGAGGATTCCTCATTCTCTCTAATGATTTCCAATCTCACCAGCAAGATCTTCCTTAATGGGTGCAGCCACCGTCACTGCCCTTCATCCATTTCTTAAACAATGGTTACAAATATTCACTGAGGGCCTACTGTGTACCAAGACCTGGGCTAGGTACTGAGACTAGAGCTAGAAGCCAAGATATACGGTTACTGCCTTTTGGGACCTTAATCCTAGTTGTGAGAGAGGCCACAAAAGTAAGTGACTAATTTCATGGAGGGAGATGTCATGAAAACAAATTTATCAAGGTAAAGGAGAGAGTGAGGGGGCAGATCAGGAGGACCTGTCTAAAGAGACAACCCTTAGGGAGAAACTTAAATGAAGAAGCAAGTGATATCAGGGATTTGGGGAATGGTGAGTGGAAAGGCCCTCAGCTAGGAAAGAAATTGGTGTGTTCAAGACAAAGGAAAAGTCCTGTGTGGCTGGGTGAGCAAGATGACGGGAGAGGCCAGGTTCTGCAGGTCTAAGGGGCCATGGTCTAGAGTTTGGATCTTATTCTAAGAGCAGTGAGAAACCAGTGGAGAATGTTGAGTGAGAAGGGAGTTAGGCTCCTTTGGCTGCTGCATGGAGAACAGTTTATAGAGAGGCCAAGGTCATGGCAGGAAACCCAGAGAAACTGGAGTATCTCCAGACAGGAAGTGACGGTAACCTGGACCAGGTAAAAGCAACTGAGGAGAAGGGAAGTGGCCAAGCTCAGGATATATTTTGCAAGCAGAGAAAGCAACATGACTTGCTGATGGTTTGAATATGGAAATAAGGGATGGAGAGAATTAAAGACAGCTCCTGGGGTCTGGGCCTGGGCAACCTGGGGAGGTGGTGAGGCCATCTATTGAGCAGGGAGGCTTGGTGTGAAAAACAGGCCTATCGTCTGGGCCTGCAGTGGGCTGTGGGTTACACAAATCAGTATAACAGTGTGGAACTATTAGGGCACCCTGGGACAGCTTGCAGCCCAGGGCTCCTGCTGGTGGCTCTTGTCCTTAGAGTATCTATAAAAGGCTCTGACTTCAGATACACTGCCAGGACCTTTTTATAGATGGGCCAGCCTTGTTTGTCAGCCCATGGCCTTGATGGCTGAGGTCCCTCTCCCTGGCAGGACCTCTGCTCTTTCCCTGTGTAGTGCCAACATCACCAACATTCAGCTGGACCATGGCAGGACCCAGATGTCTTTCCATAAGGAGTGGTTCTCAGCAAAAATCTCACTTGAATTTGACATTGACTTGAGACTGTAAGTCATACAGAAATGGGGCCTAAGAGGCCCTCCTCCTCCTCCCTGGGGACCTGGGAGCTGGGCAGTGGGAAGGAATTTGGCAACCTGCAGGACCCAGATCTTTCTGACCCCAACCTGGTTTCAAATCTTGGTTTCCAAACTCACTTTCTGTGTGACCTTGGGGAAGTCACTTCATGTCTCTGAGTGAACTGTGTGGATGACAATCACTTGTCAGTGGAGGCAGGGGGGGTTAAATGAGCCTTTTGCTCATTTAAACCTATGTGAGTTCACTACACTGATTTGTTTTTAAAGCACTGTATCTCATCACCCTTCCCTTCTTCTGTTCTAACCACCCTTTAACATTCATTCATTGCCCCCAAAGAAAGGGAGGCTGGAGCTCAACAGTAAAAAAACTAAAAATAAGATAAACTCAACCTCTGAATTTCCAAAGGCCCCTACTCTGCTCTATTAAGAGGATTTTCAGAAGCCACTCTGGCTAATGTCAGTTTTCTTTTTAATCACTGACTGCAGGATTTAACATGCAGGCAACACGGAATCCCACTGGGCTGGTTTGTTGAAAGGACTCACTCAGAGTGTGGACAGTGCTGTCCACACAAACAGCCACTTTTCCTGTTGGCTGCATCCACCACCTCCTGTTCTTATTCTGTTTCCTGCCCTTTCCTCTCCTCCCCCTCTCTCTCATCCCCAGGAGGCCCTTCAATAACAAGACTGCAAAGACACATGCATGCATGAACATTGCTGTGGAGTTCTGGCTGGAGAAAGACGAGTTTGGCCGGAGGGATCTGGTGATAGGCAATTGCCACGTGGAGCCCAGCAGTGTCTACACAACAGACCTAACGGAGTAAGGTCCCAGCTGCCCCTCCCCAGGGCTTGGCCCCTTCCTGACTTACCCTATCTGTGGCCACAAGTCTCTATCAGCTCCTGGATGAACTCCAAACAGATCATACCCTTTCCCAAGGATCTGTTCCTTCTCCTGCATCCCTTCCCAATGATGGCCATGCCACCTTACCAGAAAGAAACCAGACTCTTCCTTCCCCTCACTCCCTGCAGTCCACTTTCACCAGCTCCTATCAGTGACTTCCTGGTAGCTCCCACTTACTCCCGTCTCTTCATCCTTCTCTCCATCCTTCACTGTCCCAGCTCATGGTCTACTTCTTGGACCATTGCAGGAGCTTCCTCCAGCTTTCCTTGACTATACCTCATCTCCTTCACTTCATTCCCCTCCTGCAGCAGAATTAACTTTCTAGCACAAGAAACTAATCATGTCCCTCAGCCCCTGCTCCAAACCTTCAATGGTTCCCTAATGTCCTCTCAATGAGGGGCAAACTCCTGGATGTCACTCAAAGCCCTACTTGTCCATTCCCCTGCCCCACCTACTGTGTCCTCCAGCCCTTTGCCCTGTAGTGTCTCTGAAGGACCCACCTCTCCATCAATACACCAGGTATTTTCATATCACTGTATCTTTGCGCATGTGGATCCTTTTGTTGGGATGCCCCTCCCTTCTTCTCTAAAGCTCCTCCTCAACAGTAGTGAACGAGACAGAAAAAGAAAACAAAAACAGAGCTAAATGGAGATCTATACACTGGCTGACCAAGTCTGTCAACAGACTATGAGTCCCTTGAGGGCAAGATTTATGTCTGATTTCTCTCTGTAATTCCAGAATGCTGAAAGCAACAAAGTTCTCAGTGGCTGTCCATTTATTTATTCATCAGTCACTGAGTGCCTAGATCATGCCAGACTTTCATGGAGAGGACAGTGCAGGGGAAAGACTATGGACTCTGGAGCTCTGCTGACCTGGTTCTAATCAAATCAACACTTACTGTGTGACCTTGGCCAAGTCACATCACCTCTTCGAACTGCCCCGTTGACTGTTGCTGACAATGAGGCCTCTTATATAAGGCTGGCTGCAGATTGAATGACTAGATAAGGCGTACTCAGTGCAAAGCACCAAGTATTATTTTGCCTGTATTTATCTGTTCTGTACATATACCTCTTTTTCTAGAGATATCTCATCAAAGATGAAACATTTTCTCCACAATTTTAGACGAAATCTGGAAAAAGTTATCCCACAGCTGATAGAAGATCAGGTAAGTTTGAGAAAAGTATTTTCACCTTGGGCATCCTTCAGTCTAATGATCAGGGAGTATATATTAGCAGTTTGGCAAAGAGTTTCAAATCTTGGGCTTTAGAACCTGAAAGATCTCAATTAAAATGCTCAGTTTTGCCACCCACTGGCTGTGTGTCTTTGGGCAAATGACTTAGTCTCCCTGAGCCTCAGATTCCCTCTCTGTAGCATGGGAATCATCACAGACCCTATTTCCTAAAGACACCATGAGGATTCAGGGAGATAAAACGTGGCAGTGCTGTGCATGGCACCTAGCATGCAGTTGATCCTCAATACAGGAAGCTAAGCCACTCTTGCCATGATCCCATGTACAAATCTAATGGAATCAAGCTTCCAACCACATGCCCTGTAGCTTTCTCTTCCCAGTCCCTGATCCAACCCTCCTCTTTGTGCTGGTGCTCCAGGTATGTCCTCTGATCAGTGAAATCCTCAGGCAGCTGGATGTGAAACTGTTGAAACACCTCATGGGTGAGTGTCTGAGTTTATCCATGGAGGACTCAGGATGAGCACAGGACTGGGAGAGGTGCCCCGAGTGGGGCTCCCAGTGAGGCCCGCAGAGGTTGGCATGTCTCCACATGCTCTGAGAACACTTAGAGGAGACCACATTACTATTCCTCAAGAATGCTAGGACAGCAGAAGGCACTCCTACAAGCAGGCAGGACCCTACCAAGTCTTCTAAACCTCCACATTACCAGATGTTATAGCTGTTCCACTCAATCCACTGGCCCCACCCCAAACCTGAGACTACCTGCTCCAGTTGCAAATAAACAGATACAGTCCCCACCCTCATGGAGCTCTCAGTCTAGTGAATGGAAGACAACAGGAAGCAAATCATTAGATATCATTTGGAAATAGTTGTGGTGGGAATGCTCTGGGCAGCGGCCCTCGGTCAGCATGGGTGGATGAGTGTCCTTCACTGTGGACCTGAGGGTTGGAGGGGCAGACAAGCTGGTGACCAGCTCTTCTCTTTACAGAACAGACTGCTGCTCATGAACTCAACCTGTGAGTCCAGGCTATCCCATGTCAGGTTTGAGTGTTCGGCTTCCTACTGATGATCGGAAGGAGATTCCATGTCTTATGACCTTAAGTCTCCCTTAGAGCGGGGCTTCCACTGCCCAGAAATCCTTTACCATAGACCATGTGGATATCCTGACCTCCCCCATAATAAACTGTAGCTCTGAAGGGTACAGAGGTCCCCCTGCCTGGGCCCTGAGCTTGGGCTCCAGAAGTAAAGGTCTGATAAAGGCTCATCCTGAAAATAAATATACCTGTGTTTGTTCATTAGCTCAGAAATACCAGAAAAAGCACTCTTTCCTGTATTTTGCAGCTACATGCCCATCCACAGATGTGTTCATCAATGCAGGGAGGATCCTACTGAGATTTCCCAATCCATCATTCATTTAACCCATATTGACTGAGCACCTACTATGTGCCAAGCACTTTGCTGAGTTCCAAGGGAGTGTAGAGAAAGGGTGACTGAGTTGAAAAGCATAAAGCTAGTCTATGCTGTAAGCAGTCACATAGTTATCCCTGGGGAGTGGGTTAGTGACTGGGAGGGGCTCAAGCGAGGCAATGTTCTGTTTCTGGATCTGGGTGCTGATTATGGGAAGAGTGTTCAGTTTGTGACAATGGTCACTTTGTGACAATTCAGTGAACTATTCACTTCAGTGCATGTCTCTTATGTAGGCTATATTTTAACAAAAATTTTTAAATAAACATATTCACCATGCAGGATGTTTGTCGGAGTATGTGATGAGCCACTTGCAATATGTTTAGCATATGCTAAGTCCATAGAGTATGCTTAGTAAATGTCATTTACTTCATTGGTAATTATTGAATTACTGACTATCCAATTCTTAAATATAAATTTCCACCCTCCTCCACTTGAGGGGAGAGAAAGGCCTACTGAAAAAGCAAGGGGAAATAACATACACATATCATAGCAGTAGCACACACATATTAAGCTTTTGGCATATGCCAAGCTTGGTGCCAGAAGCTCACATTCAGAAATCTGCTCCAATCCCCACAGCAATGCTATAATGTACTGTCCTACTTTACCCATAAGGACGTGGAGGCTCAGAGAGGGAAAGCCACTTGCACAAGGTCACACAGCAATGAAATGACCAAGTGGACAGTGCTCAGGCAGGCAGACTCTGCAGCCCATACTCTTGACCACTGTGAATGGCCCCTCCAGTCTTCCCTCCCTTCCTTCTAACAACACACCTGCCAAACACACACACAAACACACTAAGGAGGAAATGATGACATGTGGGTCCGGCTGGATTGAGAAGCTCAAATAAGGAAGTGTCAGCGTCTCAGAAGTGAGAATGGGAAAGAGAGACTCAAGTCCCCATCTTTCAATTCAGATTCCCTAACCCAAAATGCTGCAGTGGGGATTTGCGACCCTCTGCGCCCATGTTCACACAGATGATTCCCCTCCACAGCCTTGAGGTGAGGGGTTCTTCCTGCTCATGATTCAAAGAGCAAACATGGGAGGGCTGGGTCCCGTCCTTTGGAGAGATTGCCTGGCCCCTTGGTGAAGGCAGGCTTTGTCTGCCTTCCCCCTCACCCCTCCAGGGGTGGCACTGGGACCTCCTTCCTCAAGGGGCCTCCTCGGGTTTCTTGTGTTATTTTCATTTTAAGGTTCAGGGAGCCATGGACTCATTGTGCTTTCTCCTAGAAGAGCTTGTTGCACGAGAGACCTCTGTTATGAGATTGGGGTCTGGGGTGGGAGGTAATTTAAGCAGAAACTCAGCCCCCAAATGCTCAGGAGCTTGCTTGCTCCAGGCCCTGCCTGTCTGTACCCCATGACTGCACACCCTTCCGTCAGAGTTCTGTGCCGGGCGTGCCATACATTTGTTTCCCTGTTTAACCCTCTCCCCAGCCCCGGGAGGTAGGGGTCATCAGCTATTTGCAGGTGAGGGAACTGAGGCTGAAAGAGAAGCATCTCATCCGGAGTCCTTGGCTGAGCCTGGTTTGGAACTCAGGGCTGGGTGATTGCTCAGGAACTTTCTGAACCAAAGACTCTGACACGAACTTGCCTCAGAAGTTATGAGCACTGAAGTCATTCAGCCCCGGATGACACTCTGAATTCACTTCCCCCTAGCTGAGGTGACCCTGGGCAGTTGACTGTCCTCCCCGAGCCTCAGTGTCCCTGCAGGGTTGTTAGAAATGGTATAACGCTCCAGAGTCCCACAAAAAAAAACCCTCATTATTTCTATTAACTGTAAGTAGAGGAGGACAATTAATCTCTAAGGTAAGTGGAACTTTCCGTAAGCAATAAATGTATTTTCTCATCAAAGTTAGGGCACCCAGCTCTCCAGGAACTCTTTTTGCCCTCTACCCCTCAAATGGGACTCTCAAGGCCATCTGAAGATCCCCCTCAAACTCAGCCACCACCTGATCTTGCTCCAGGGAACAGGACCAATGTCCCACTCCCAGGTTCTGGAGAGTACACCTTGGGTAGGTCAGAGACCCTTGAAAAATTAATTCTGCCCTTTAACAATAGATCTCTTGATTCATAAAAATAAAGGCTCCCAACTACAATTAGATTTGGGAAGAAAAGGGTACCACCTACAGTTTTTCAGAAACATGTTGGGAAGACATTGACATCACCAGAATGGAAAGCACCGTCTGGAAATGTCAACGTGTGACCTTCCACATTTCCTGATGCCCTTGCCCTGCTCGGAACAATGGAACAGGCAGCACCTTTGGCTTCAATGAAGAGCAACTTCAGCATAAGCAGAAGTTTCCAGCACCCAGATCCTTGACAAACAGTAGTGACAGAGAACAGATTGGTGCTCACCAGGGGGTGGGCATGTGGGTGTGACTCTCTCTAAAAGGGCTGCCTTAGGGTGCTGAGGGTATTTTGGGGGTGACAGAATGTTCTAAATCCTGATTATCATGGTGGTGTCATAAAACTATATGGGCACTAAAAAATTTATAGACCCACACACCAAAGAATAAAAAAGCCAATTTTATTGTGGGTTAATTTTTTTTTTAACCTGAGCTTTTCAGCTTCAAAACTCAGGGCATAGGAGACGTCAGGAATAGCACATATGCAATGAATTGAAGCAGGATTTCCTGCCCCAAGACTAGAAACTTCCCTGTGTTGAGTTGGTGGAGTGGGATAGCCCAGGAGGAATTGAAGAGAACACAGTTCGGTGGGTTCTGGAAAGCGTCTTGTGCCCAGGCTACTCCCCGGGCAAAACGTGTCATGGGACAACAGGTACCTGAAGCTGATGTGCAGGGTTCAAGAGCAGAGGGCACCTATGCCCATGTTTCCTTCCAGAACCAGGACAGATGTCAAGACCCCAGGGAAAGAAGATTAACTAGAGTCTAGGCAGAAGGGTTAAGGTAGCCTAGCCTCCCCATGGCCCTGCCTAAGGCCCAAGGAGTCGAGAAACTGCAGAACCATTGGGGGTGGCTAACAAGGCAGCAAGAAGTCAACGCTAAATCCAAAGGGGCCTTCTGGACAGGAAGGATGGACACACAGTGTCTCAGCAGTCAGGGACCAGAAGGCATGTGGCTGTCTCTGTATTTCTAGTCAAAACAGGGACCGGGCGGCCTCCTCTACATGCTGTGGCACAAGTGAAGCCTCTGGAACAGAAATGAATCCCCATGGGGAAGTGGGGAGGTTTTTGCTACCCAGAAAATGGCATTTGAAATGGTAACTAAACTGGAGATACATTAGAAAGAAAACTGTAGACACATGAGTTTATGGACTCAGATTCTATCCACTCTCCAGACATGATCCCACACAGCCCTGTGTGTGTGTGTCGGGGGGATTAGAGTGGCTTACCCAGGGTCCCAGGATTTGTGACCCCTTGCCCAGGGTCACATGCCTATGCAGCCTCCTGTCTTCATAACAAGGGCTATGACCTGCCCGGTAACTGGCTCTACAAGCTTGAGTCAGTCCCTTTGTGGCAGGAGATAGTCAGGAGGGAGGGAACTCTGGAGGCACCCCAGGACCAAGACAAAGGACATCGATGCAGGACAGAGACCCTGTTCTAAGATGGGTTGCTGCCACTTTCTGGAAAACCACTGAATCGTGGTGAATCATGAATGCACCTGCACAGAAGATGCTACATGACCCCCACTTCATTATAATAACATTATAATAAATTACCATTGTGGGGCCCTCTTCCCTGATGGCCAATCAAAGAAAATCATGGGAGACCACATGTGCAGTAACTTTAAAGTAATAAAACTACTTGTATGTGCTCAGTAAAACCCCACCAAAACTAGCCAGCAAATATTCACCCTACAAGAATAGAATCCCTCCAGCCCCTGAAGTCAGTCTCTGCTTGGAGTTGACTGGCTCCCATGTTCTGTGGAGTGTGCTACCACTTAATAAATCTGCTCTCTCTCTTTCTGCTATAAACTCTCTGTGCATTTGGTTCAATTCTTTGTCCATGATCACCAAGAACCTGGTTACTTGTGCCCACCTGTGACACCTTGACTTATTTGCCTCAGTTTCCCTCCAAAGATAGCAGGTCAGTAGCAACCTGACCCAAACCATAACACCTGTACCAAGATATCAAAACATGGGGCCCCTTCAAGGATCATTCACAACCTATAAGCTCTAGGAAGAGTCTAGTGAGTGCTTGAATGGATAACTGAGTTCAAAGCCACGGCCCTGGCACCTTGGAGGCTTTGCAGGATCTTCACAGGGAGAGGGAACAGCTCCAGGGAAGGTCTGAGGGGAAGCAGCATGTCTCACTGGTGACAGGAGTGACGGGACACAGGGGCGAGTTCTGACTACACTGCTCATTTTCTGTGTGTCCTGGGGAAGAGTCACCTTTCTAAACCTTGGTCTCCTTACCTGACATTTGAGGGACAATACTAACCACTTCTGAGGAAGACGCGATTCAAATATGGAGAGCACCCAGCACATAGCAGGTGTCTGATAAATGTGCACTTTCTACTTTATGTAGCATATAAAGTGTTAGGAGTTGCAGGGCAGAGCCTGCTCTCACTGGCCCAAGACCTTCATCTCTCCATGCCTCGGTTCTGTCATCTGTGAAACAGACTCCAAGGCCCAAGCTGTGTGGACAAACACCTTAGCTCTTTCATTTGGGGAAGGGAAGAAGAAAGGGTAAAGGTAGAAACCAGGATGCCACAGTATCCCTCAGGCCTGGGAACCTAGAAAGACTTTCCCAGGATGTAAAAGTGAAATTTCTCGACAGCATGAAATTCACAGATGTGGAAAAGCACAGCTGTCAATGAATGCACAGTCCAGTGACTCGGGGAAAGGACGGGAGCGTGAATGCTCAGCACCATGTCCTGGGTCTGACTCCAGGCGGATCAACTCACTCCGAGCCTCCATTTCCCCATGTAAAGTGGGAGTATTTGGCCCCACCTCCCACAGGGCTGTGAGGATCCCTGAGACGCTGCCTGTGGGAATCAGTGTGGTCCTGACATACAGCAAGGGCTCGTGGTATCTGCTGACAGGGTTTTTATTATTATCATTACCCAGTGAGGAGAGTTCTGACTCGCCAGATCCTCTCTGTGTCTTTGGGGACTTATCCCCACTGGATCTCAGTTTCCCCCTCCTCGAAGGAGGAGCAGCAACACCTCCCTCCCAGGGTTCTGGTGAGAACAGATAGCCCCCACACAAAGGGAAATGAGAGGCAGTTTGAATCTTTTTGACACTGTAGGAACAAGAGAGCTCTACCTGGAGAAAAAGAACTGGACCACAAATGGAAAAGGGCCTAGATATGAGACTGAGGTCTCTTCTGGGCTCTGGCTGGCTGCCTCTCCTTGGGTTCCAAGTTTGATCTCTCAGGCCACCTTGGAACACAGGTCCCCAGCCTCAGTCCCACTCATGAAACTGTGAAGTCTTCAATAACATCCCCATCTCAGGTTTTTCTCTTTATAGCCTGTCGATCAAAAGGCTTAACTGTCCCACCTACTAATGCAATAGACAATTATTTACTTTGGAGAGCCCTGAAAGATACCACCAGATTGCAGAATTCTGGATTTCTAGATACCCATCACCTGATTACATGTTTCCTTGTTCCCACACTATAAAAGAGGCTGCTCCTCAGCAGAAGCAAGCAGGAGAGGTAAGAGGAGACCAGGACAACCGCCAGGACCTCTGAAAAGCCCAGGTGAGTCCTGCCTGTCATGCTCCCACAATGGAGCCCTGGGTGGCAGGGGTGCCAGGCTCCTCGCTGTGGGGTGGGCCCTGGCTGACTATATTAGCATCACTCATTGAGGGTCTTCTAAAAGAAACTGGCCTAAACTGCCTCTTCTAAATGGAACTGGCCATTCTCTGAGGCATGGGGCGGCCATGCACTCCGTTCCCCAAGAGACCAGTAATGTCACTAGGGAAAGGTTTGAATGCAGAAATGTAGAAAAAGGAGTTTGTGGCTGCAGGTGTGACTGCTGAAATTGTCTCGTGGGCACCCTCTTCGTACCCTGAGTCCAAGTCTCTGTAGCACAAGTTTCAACTTGAGGTTGCTTTTGGGAATTCAGATCACCACCCAAAAACTTCCTAAAATCTTCCCAGTTTTACACATTTTGTTGCATTTTTCTGGGACTAGGGACCTTAACTTCTAGAGAATTCATAAAAGGCCTGTTTCCCAAAGGAGATTCAGAGGCCCAAGCCCTAGGGAGGCTGCAATTGGCTCTCCAGACCAAAAAGTCCTTTCAATTTCAGTCGGCCACAGCAATGATGGAGCTTTGGCCAAAAAGGCCAGTGGATGGAATATTGCCCCAAATAGCCAGGCAGGTCTGAAATATAGGTACCAGCTCCAGCTTTGGACACCCCTGCCAGCTGCCAAATAAGCCTGTGAGAGGTTGGTGATACCTTGCAGGAGATTGGTGCAAAAGGCAGCCATATGTCAGGGGTTCCCCAGAAGTTCATCTAGGTCAGCTTTGAAGGAGAAGACAAAGGCATAGAAAAGAGTATGTGTGCATGTATGTGTGTGTGTTGTATGTTTGTGTGTGGGGTGGGGACAGGTTCAGAAACCTACATCCAACCACAGCTCTGCCATCAATTTGCTGTGTGACCTTGAGACTATCACTACTTTTCTCTGGTCCCCTGATTCTCCTTGTGAAATGAGGACTTTGAATAGCCCAGCATTTCCCCAACACCAGTCTAGATGAGATGGTGGCTACAACTACGTGCCCTCTGATAGTGTGACATGCACGGGCTGGGCCTGGACCAAACGACTGAACAGGGACGGTGACAAAGCAGCTCAGTTCCTCAGCCACTAGCATATTTAAGTTTTTCATTTGCTTTGTCTGAACAGCAGGCACTAGGGGCAATGGTCCAAACCACTGTAAGACCAATTAGAGAGTACATCTGATGATCACTTAATTTAGACAGAAGCCTCTGGGTCTGGCTTCAAATTCTGTCCTCATGTGTACTTGTGATCTTAAAGGAAGTTACCTAACTCACTAGACCCCCATTTCTTCACCTGAGCAATGCAGACAATTGGCGCCACACCTTAGGGTGTGGTTAAGATGAAATCAGTTACCCAGTGTGGAGAGCTCAGCCTGATGCCTGGCACAGAGGAAATGCTGAGTAGGGTTAGCAGCAATTGCTATTCTCTCACTGGTATTCCAGAGGCCAGGGACAGGTGGTGGATGAGTTTCTTTCTGCTATCCGTGTCACATTGGGCCTGTCATCCTGTTCGTAGGCACCAAGGAGAGAAGATGTTTCAAACTGGGGGCCTCATTGTCTTCTGTGGGCTGCTGGCCCTGCCTCTGCCGGTGGACCTGGCTTCAAGTCCTACAGATATTGCTGGACAGTTGACAGGTGGTAAGTGAGAATCTCTGACAACCCCATCCAGGTGTGTGTGTGTGTTCCCCACCATCCAATGGGGGGAGGGGGAAAGGATGAATGGAGGAAGGGGGCTGAGGATCTTAAATTGTCAGCTCTGACCCCTGAGAACCCCTATACCCATCTCCAGCTCTCAGCAATGGCCTGCTCTCTGGGGGTCTGTTGGATACCATCAAAAACCTTCCACTCCTGGACATCCTAAAAACTGGAAATAGTTCTGATGGCCTGCTTGGCAGGCTGCTTCAGCAACTGCTCAATCCTCTGGAAAGCCTCACTGGGTGAGTAGCCCTAAAGCAGGGCCTTGGTCCCCACCAGAGGCCGCCCACTGGAGATCTGTTTGCCCTAGGCAGGAGCCTAAAGGAGGAAGAAGGGTGGTCTGAACATGAGCCCAGCACTCAGTCTGAGGCCTTTCTCGCAGGCTGGCAGGGAACACCAGTCCTCTTGAGCCAGCAATTGTCCTTAGTCCTAAAGCATATCCTGAGTCCTCAGTATCATCTGTAAGCCTCAGAACAACCCTCTGAGGACGATTTAATAATACCCACTTTGCAGATGGAGAAACTGAAGCACAGAAATGTGCCTGTGCTCACACAACTAGAATGATGCAGAGGGAAGGATCTAATTCTAATTTACGTAATTCCAAAGTCAAGGTTTTTCCACTACACAATGGTAATTTTGTTCTCACCTGTAGAATCCCTTAGAACACAGGGGAACTTTGGTGTAAGCAAGAAAGTGTAAACCACTCTCCTCAATTATATTGTCAAAGTGATGTCCATGGAATGATCTAATATGGTGTTTCCTGTGAGATGTCTGTGAGCTCACTAAGCAAGAAGGAATCACGGGAAGCTTAATGCAGGGAGCTGGCAAAGCCTGGGTCCTTGGTAGGGCTGGATCAAAGCCCAGATTCCTACCCACCGAGGTGCCTGCCCCTGACTTGAAAACAGACATAGTCTTGGGTTTGGTTTTCAAATGTACCATGTACTTGCTGGGTGACCTGAGACCAGGCACTCAAGTCCCCTTTGGGTTTCTCAGTGTCACTCAGGTTCTCTATCTATAAAATGAAGATTATGGCACCCACAGAGAAAAACTGTTAGGAGAACTGGAAAAGATATAATCACCTGCCACAATGGCTGGCTTAGAGAAGAGGCTTACTTCTACTCTCCCTGACTTCCTGCTTCTCCATCTCCATGACAAACATTGTTGATTAACCTGCCATTGAAAGTCATGAGTGATTTCTACTCATACGTGTTTGTTAAAGACTTACTCCACTTGTCCACACATCATCCACTCACCCACTTACCCATCCATCCATTCATTTGTCCATCCTTCCTTCCATTTAAACACTTATTCTTCCATGTATCCACTCACATATTCATCTACTCACCTGCTCATCAATCCATAGTCAACCAATATGGAGTAGCCTCTTTCTTTGTAAGGCTCTGAACTGGCATAAAGAATGCAAACACAATCTGGACAGAATGTAAATACAGTCCAGTCTCTATCCTGGAACACCTTGCAGACCCAAGTTGAAGACAGGGCCATGGGTATGTCAGGATATGGCCCAGTGCGGAGGTTGGGGAAAACTGATGCAACTCAGACCCCAAGGTGGTTTTTGCCGCAAGACTGCCCTCCTGTCTCCCCCATCCCACCTCATGGGTAGCTCTACCTCTGGAATAGGTAATATTGGGTTACATGTGGTTTATAGGTTTGGGGCTAGAAAAGCTAATGTTTTTCCCTTCATCTCCTGGGCAGTATAGAGATCACTAAACCCAAACTACTGGAAATTGACCTTACGCCGAGCGAAGATGGCCATCGCCTCATCGTCAACATCCCTCTGGGCTTTGACGTCAATTTTCGAGTGTGAGTAGCCCCAAGGGAAGGTGGGAGGGTGGCTCACCAAAGGAGACCCTGATGACCATGGGCAGCCAAAAAGGGGGCATTTGAGCCTAACAGACATGAGCCTCCAAGTTCAGTTTATTTGCTGCTATGTTCAGTGACCTGGAGTCACTTGGGAAACTCCCTTGACTTCTTTGAGTCCTGGTTTCCCCTACTGGGAAATGAGATGTGTACATCTATGGGCAAGATGGAGTGAGGTGAGGCTGGCATTCCTGGTGAGGAAAAAAGCCTTCTCTTCTTAGAATGTGGTGGGGCCTCTCTCTTCTCTGCAGGCCCGTAGTCAACCTACGTCTGTTAAAGTTGTCTGTGAAGCTAAATGTCTCTGTAGAAGTCTATCCTCAGAAAGATGAGAATGGGATCCACTTGGTCCTTGGCGGCTGCTCTCAATCCCCTGCCGATGTGAAAATCGCCCTGCTTGATGGGTAAGGCCAGAGGGTTGGCTTCACCTTCCCAGAGACAACAGAAAGGGATGATGGATACATAGTTGGAAAGATAAAAGAATGGAAGAATGAATGAGTGGGAGGATGAAAGGGTGGGAGGATGAACAAATGGGAAGATTGATGGGCAAGAGGAAAGATGGATGGATGGATGGATAATGACTTATCCCTTCTTAATCTGGGCTGACCAATTTTATGCTGGATCAGTGAACAAGAAGTCTGAATTCAAACCCCATCTACGAGAGGGCATGAGGAGAGGTAGAGTGCTTCCTGCATGAACTTGGACAGTACTTCCCCAAACTGTAATATGCAACTGCATTGCAGTTATTTATTGATAACCCCACTTACCTAATAGGTGTGAATGTGCTTTGTCTTAGTAAGGGGTAAAAAATCTATGGAGCCTCTCTGGGTTACTTATTTCAGTTACCTGTTACAAGCCTGGTCATGCACAATATGCAGAATTCGTTCCTATCATGTCTAACATTTAGTGAACACATATATTGTGCTCATATATATCATCTCATTGAATCCTCATAACTACTATACGCTAAGCACTGCTCATCCGCTTATGGATTCTGCAAAATTTCATTGAATACCTACTGTATACTAGAACTATGTATTTATTCTACATGTCCCACTGTGTGCATTGCTGTGTAGGATATTATTCCCTTTGGATAGGCACTTTGGTGTTTGCCTTCATGAGAGTGTGAACAAGACCCAGTTTCGGTTGCTTAATGCTGAGAGTGTGATAAGCCTAGTGGCCCCTCTGACCCCTCTGAAGCCTTCTTCATACCAACACCAGGCCTCTGCACTGCCCATGGCTTTTGTCTTTCAGAACTCAAACCTTCCTCATTCAACGCCTTATTAATAAGCTCGTCAATATCTTGACTAACACCATTCCTAAGTTTGTGCTGGGTGAGGTAAGTGGGTTGAAGTGAGGGCTTCTAGCCCTTGCATCTTAGAGCTTCTCAGGCTGAAAGAGGCCCCTGGAATGAGCTATTCTGAGCTTTCAGTTTCATGAGTAAATTGCATCCACGTCTATCTGTCTATTGATCCATCTTTCTATGTTTCGTCTTTCCATCCTTCAACATACTGATTGGTTCTTGCTCTGGGCCAGGCCCTGAACATGTCCCCATACTACAGCTGAAATGGATTGGCCCTACCCATAGAAGTCCACCCCAACTTCGGCTGCAGAGAAGCACACTTCCAGCCTTTGCTTGAGTGCCTCCTCTGGCCAGAAATGCACCCCTCCCAGAGAAGTCCACCTTGTTAGAAACAGGTGTCATGTCACAGAGTGAACACTGGCTCGCTGTGCGATTGGGTGCTTCACATACATGCCTTCAGTTTCTCCTTCTGCCCAGTGGAAGTGTGAGCATTTATCTGTGGGAATGCTCAAAAAACAAATATTCTCAGATAAAAGGAAATGGTAGAAAACTCCCCTCAAGAATCCATTCTAAAACGATGTTGCTCCCAGGGTCTCCCTCCAAGTACCACTTTGTCTACCTCCACTCTCTGCCCCTCATTCAGGTGTGCTCTATAGTCAATGGAGTTCTCAGCCAGTTGGATGTGACCATAGTGCAATCCATTGCTGGTAAGTATCTGCAGAGGGGGAGAGAGGGCTTGGAAGCCCTCTCTCCCCCTCTGCAGGAACTGTGTTTTCCCCAAGGAGCCCTGTCCCTGCACACCATGGGTCACGTAGACCCCTCCAGCCTCAACTCTCTCCCTTTCGGGGTTTTTTTTTTTTTGCCTTGATTTATTCAGATAGTGTTGAAGTATAGACCCTTTCCCCCCCCATCAGCCCTGACACCGAGGAGAGCTGGGCTGGTTGGTGAAAGGAGGCATTGCCCCTGCCAAGCCCTGCCTGAGCTTGGTCAGACTTCCAGAGTTGCCGGTCCCTGGCCCCAGGCCTCAGAAGGAATATGGGATATCCCAGACACCTTACTCTGAGACCATGTCTCAGGTCTGCAATGGTGGTTTTTCATTTTCCAGAGAATCTGATTCCGGGAAAGAATATTAGCATTTCGGTCTAAATGTTCCAGGAAGGGACCTGGTCTCTCCTGAGCTGGTAAGTGCTGTTCCCAACTCCCCAGGATTCTGGAGGCTACTGTTCTTCCCCTGGTCAAAGGCAGCAGAGGGGTTGTGACAGTAACATCCAAAGAGAGAGACAAGTGCCACAGTGACAAGTATAGATGTGCCCAGAAAAGTCCACAGAGATTCTGACGGCAGTTGGGAACACAGGCAGCAACACAACACAATCACAAACAAAAACACACATGGTCGTGGATGCACGCACATACACACCCAAACACGTCACTCAGACAGGTGTACAGAGACACACACTCTCACACCAGCACACTTACACTTGTGCACACACATGCAAATTCACTGCACACAGGTGTCTGTGGATACACAGACACACACCAGTCAAACACGGGCACAAGGAGCCCCCTGACCCAGACCTGGGATCCCTTTGTAGCTGAAACAAGACCCTAGCCCTAGGGTCTCAGCCTCCTGCCCTCTCTCTGGAGGGTTTGATGATGGGCCAGTGCAAACAAGAGTCAGTGGCCTCCAGTCCCCATTCTGATTGAGGTCTTCTTGCAACAGAACCACTTCCTGCTGCTCAATCCATTCCCTGCCCAGCTCCGAGGATTCACAGAATGCTGCCCATGTCCTGAACAATTACACAACCACTGTTTGGGGCCAACAGCAGTCTTCTCTCCAAGGAAACTGCTTCCCCTCTTTTTCCACCAGGCATGTGTTACATTCCACACTTCCTCACTAAATAAAATTGCTCTTGTCTGCACACGGGACCTTGTCATTCTTCAGCATCACTTAAGTGCTCATTGGTTGGAAAGCATCCTGGCCTGGGTGGTTGGAGCCACAGAACAGAGTTTGGACCTTGCATCCGGGATCATAATGGTCTTTAGCAGGACTGGGACATGTTCAGATGAATGTGGATTTCAGAGTGACTGCTCTGGGGCCCTTAGAACAGGTGGACAGGGTGGTAGGGGTAGATGTGACACCCCAGGCAGAGATGATGGTGACATACAAGGTTACCACATAAGAAGTAAAAATGGCAGTTTGAGAGATGTTCAGGGGGTGGACCTGGACAGGTGTGGGTGAGGGAGCTACTGAGGCTCCTGTCCATGTATCAGGTTTGGGAGCCCAAAGGTAACTGGGAATGTGGGAGGCTAGGTATGGCCACACTGCACAGAAGTGCCTGGGAGACCCCAAGAGAGAGTCCTAGAAGCTGAGGATGCACAAGTTGTCTACCACTCCTCTTCGCTTACTTGCAACCAGTCATACTGGCCTCTTTTCTGTTCTCACAGCAAGAGGATGATAAAGATGACAAAAAGGAAGTGTAGGAGGAAGGGCCAACTGGGCCAAAGTGTTCATTGCTGAAAGGCTTGAGAAAAGTAGGGACAGAGAAGAGTCATTGGCATTGCATCTGAAAAGATTATTGTTGGCTTGAGTAAGATTCAAAGTTTGGAAGGAAGAAGATAGATTTAAAGGAACAAAGAAGAAGGGACCAAGGATACTGAGACTGTTAACACAGGTAAGATTTATGAAAAAACTAAATGCAAGAAGGAAGAACAGGGCTAACCAAAATAGTGAAGGTTGTCCCTTCAAATAAAAAATAAATATGTTACCATTATTTGAGGTCCTTATAGGACAAGCCCAACCCTGTCACTCCACACATGAGAACACTGAGCTGTGGGGTATATGTGAACAACTTGCACACAGCCACAGAATGACAAAAAAGACAAACCAAGGACTGAAACTCCACAGACTTCACAGAAAATCTTGTCCCTTGCTCTTTAGGAGACCCCATTGACCTTGTGAAAATGAGCAGGTTCAGGGTGATGTTTCTCAACCCCTGGGAAACATCTGTCATCATGTCCAGACCCACCACTGTCTGCACACACTGTTGCCACCAACCAACAGGGCATCCTGGGAGGACAGTCACGGAGTTCAGGACTGCAAAACGGTTAGTTGTAGGGAACCAGCAGGTGTCTCCTGGTGAGGACACAAGAGAGGAAACATCTTCCACACTCACAGAAGTAGGAGATCTCTGAGCTCAGGATCAGAACTATTAAATTCCATAAACAGTTGCATGACCATGGTAAATGTCTGTCCAGTTAGTGACGTGAAGTACAGAGGACCTTCCTGAATGGAAACCAGCCGTTAGCACCTGACTGGGATGAGGGAGGATCCAGGCATTAGCTACCTTCACGTCCTTTGTGGGCAAGGGTTAGGTCAAGACTGAGAGTCCTCCTTGGATGAGGCTACAAGAATCAAGGTGGATAAGGACAGGGACACACACCTGGAACCATCAGATCAGAATTGCTCCTGCTGCCCCCTGATCATGGCACCAAAATGCATTCTGACCTGGACATTCACCCACTACCCATCTCTAGACCATTTTCCCACTGCCCCCCAGGACTTCTTCCCATAGCTCACAGATGGCTCTTTCTCCTCCTGTAACAACTGCAGTTCCTAAGTAACTAGTCCAAGATCCCTGAATACAAAACAGTCAGAGAGATGGCAGGGAAATCAGAACTCTCTTTTTAAAACTCTCTAAAAATATGTCAGTGAACATGGTAGATTAAAGACCCCTGAAAATTCTCTCCTGCATAAAAGCAATGACAAAAATGGCAAAAAACAGAACCAACTTTTTTAGAACTCTCAAAATTAACCAAAGGCTTCCAACAATCTGGGAGGTATTTGATCAATAAATATATCAATCATCCTGGGCTCTGTGATCTTGCCTCATTCAGTGGCATTTGCTCTCATATTCTACAGAGGCCACCAAAGACTCCAATGAACACACAGGGTAAATATCAAAATTTTTCAGCGGGTTGGAGTTGATCCACCAGGGAGTGAAAACTGCAGTTCTCACCATAACCATGAACCCTCTGGACCACAAGAGGGCAGGTACTGGCCCCATCAAGCCCAGGGTCCTACCTAGCAAGGGTGCTCTCCAAAGGAAAGGAGGAAGGCAAGTCATTCACAATGACTAGCCATTCAGAGCCACACCTGTCTCAAATGTCAACCAGCGGAAAGGAGGAAATGTGCTTGAGTTCTTGCCCTTACAACATGCCTCATGTTTCTGCTTGATCATTAATTTCAAACTTGAACAGCTTGACTCGTTTTACCTCTCTTGTGCCCCCCAACCCTCTTTACTCACAACGGCCTGGGTATACCATCTCTCAGACTCCTTCTTCATTCCTAAGTCTTCGTCACCACATCCCAACTGTTTCTCTACTGCCTGCTTTCATTCTCTTTCCTGTTCCCAACTCCCCATTTCCTTCTTCTAATAATTATCCTTAATAGTAATGTCTCTGAACTTGCTCACTTTTTAAAAAATGGAATATAAATTGCCACAGTATTAGTCAGAACAGAGCAAGTCTTTGCTGCAGTAACAAAGGAGCCCTAAAACCCCAGTGGCCTAACACTATGAAGTTGTATTCTTGACTCATACATTTACTCCATGCTCCATTTTGGAGCTACACCATCTGAAATGCGCAACCTCCATGGTCACCAAGACAGTGCACTGAGGACTGGCAAATGGGCAGGACATTACTAAGGGCCAGGCTGAAAAGTAGCATGAACATATTACTTCCTTCACATTCCCCTGGCCAGACACTCTGAGCCCCAGTTTCCTTGTCTGCAAAAACCCCCATCCCAGAGGGAGTTTGTGAAGATTAAATCAGCTAATGCATGTAAAACATGGGCCTATCACAGTGCCTGGCACATAGTGAGGTTTCAAGAAACATAGCCGTTATCATCATTCATGCCAACTCATTCTGGAACAATTTCAGAAGCAAATTATTTGAGCCTCACTTCGTCATGGGGGGGCAGTGGTGGGGGACAGAGAGGTCCTCCAATTACTCTTCTCACCACAATATCCGGGAAAACTGAACACTTTTCTGTTTCACTTGTATCTACTTGTGGTTAACTTCTATTTCTGAAAGTTGATGCTGGGCTTTTTAACTGAAAATTGTAACATTTCCTATTATGATGGATTTCTTTAAAGATAGTGACACAGTTTAAAAGAGAATAAAGGAGAATTAGTAAATTGTTTATGTGGCTGGTAGGTGGTATAAATTGTAAGGTAGTATGTGAATGATTGGAATGTAAGGAACTTACAGACTGGTCCTCAAGAGCGTGACTAGTCTGGCTACCAGATACCCTGAAGCAAGAAGACCTCCAGCATCCTAGCCTTGCACCAGCGCTCACATATATGTCCTGTGACCACTAGAGGGAGCAATTGCATAGCAACCCAGCAATCATCTTGAAGATTAACATTTATTTAGCATTAATGATGGGACCAGCACCTTGCTCAGTCCTTTAAGTGCAGGATTTTATTTAATACTCATAAACATTAGGATGCTAAGGCTCAAGTTCATACAACTTGTGAGCATTGCATCCAGGATTCAAATTCTGGAAGTCAAACTAGAGCCCAAGCTTTTTGCCACAGGTTACAAATTCACGAGCATCCAGCCAAATCTGACACATAGTTTTTCATTTTTATTTTTTTAAATATATTTTATTATGCCATTACAGTTGTTCTATTTCCCCCGTTATTCCCCTCCACTCTGCACACCCCCTCCTCCACCATTCCCCCCTTTAGTTTATGACCATGTGTCTCAAGTTCTTTAAATTCTATATTTCCCATACTATTCTTGCCCTCCCCCTATCTATTTTCTACCTACCATCTATGTTACTTATTTTCTGTACCTTCTCCCCCCTTCTCCTTCTCCCACTCCCCTGTTGCTAACCCTCCATGTGATCTTCATTTCTATGGTTCTGCTCCTGATCTAGCTGTCCTCTTAGTTTGCTTTGGTTTTAGGTATGGTTGTTAATAACTGTGAGTTTGCTGTCCTTTCACTGTTCATATTTTTTATCTTCTTTTTCTTAGGTAAGTCCCTTTAACATTTCATATAATAAGGGCTTGGTGATGATGAACTCCTTGAATTTGATCTTATCTGAGAAACACTTTATCTGCCTTTCCATTCTAAATGAAAGCTTTGCTGGATAGAGCAATCTTGGATGTAGGTCTTTGGATTTCATGACTAGGAATACTTCTTTCCAGTCCCTTCTTGCCTGTAAGGTTTCTTTTGAGAAATCTGCTGACAGTCTGATGGGAACTCCTTTGTAGGTGACTGTCCCCTTATCTCTTGCTGCTTCTAGGATTCTCTCCTTCACTTTAATCTTGGCTAATGTAATGATGATGTGCCTTGGTGTGTTCCTTCTTGGGTCCAACTTCTTTGGGACTCTCTGAGCTTCCTGGATTTCCTGGAAGTCTATTTCCTTTGCCAGATTGGGGAGTTCTCCTTAATTATTTGTTCAAATAAATTTTTCACTCATGGTTGTTCCTCTTCCCCTTCTGGTACCCCTATAATTCCGATGTTGGAATGTTTAAAGATGTCCTGAAGGTTCCTAAGCCTCTCCTCATTTTTTTGAATTCTTGTTTCTTCATCCTTTTCTGTTGGGTCATTTTTTTCCTCCTTCTGGTCCACTCCTTTGATTTGAGTCCCAGTTTTCTTTCCATTACTATTGGTTTCCTGTGTACTTCCCTTCATTTCAATTAGTTTAGCTTCCATATGTTCCTCTAATTTGTGACTAAAATCAACCAGTTCTGTGAGCATCCTGATCACCAGTGTTTTGAACTGTGCATCTGAAAGTTTGGCTA